GCTGCTCAGTTTTGATTTGGTCTTCTAAATAATTTGTTGTTTTTGTTTTTAAGATCTTGAATACACAGTAGATGAAAGTAACCGAAACAAATGATATTTGCTGAGCAATTTCAGCAAAAAATGATTATTTATTACTGTGAATTTTCTCAGATACATAAATACAGATAGAAATTATAGGAAAAATGAAAGTTAAAAAAAGATTAAATTATTTGTACAATAGATTGAAAGCAGGCAAATCTCTGATGCTCGAGATATCCTCAATCTCAAGAGCCAATTCACGTTCCAATTGTGCCCTTCTTGATTTCAGAACGTCCTGCAACAAAGTGAAAACCGGTTAACACCTAACGAAACCGGGATTTCCAAATTGTGCATCAATCAATTTCATCTCCAATGGTTTTTTTCGTGGAAACCGGTTAACACCTAACCAAACCGGGATTTCCAACTCTTATGTAACCTTGTTTTTCCTTTTTTGCCAAGGTTTCATGATTTTAGGTAGAGCCTTCTTGTGATACCTCACACTTTCATTTCTTCTAATGATATTTACATTTTTAGGTAGAAAGTCACAGAGTATAAAGAAATTTCAAATAATGCCACTTTTCAAGTCTGATTTTTTACTTCTTTTTTTTCCTGAACCAGAACCGATCATCTCTTGCCACGTAAGGGCTCTCAAGAGTTCTCAAAACTCTGAAACCAGAACCGGTCCTGAGTCATTTTATTAGTTTTGATTTATTTAAAGCCCAATAATTGTTTAGAACCTGGGTTTAAACCCCCCCTATGGACCTGCTCTTAGATTTTTGACGTGGCGTTGATAAAAAAAATTGATATAAATTAACTTGTTTTTTTTTTTGGTAACCTATAAATTGACTTGTTATAAGAGAAAAGTGCACAAACCCTAGTTTCTTTTGTTTATCTTCTCCCTCACTGCCCTAATTTATGATATCTTCTCCCTCCCAACAAATACTTTCGGAAAGATGTCTAAACAAATATAAGAGAAAACTTTGCGCATTAATCTCATCTAAATAAAATACAAGTGAAAACAGTGTTGGAAATAAAAACTTTTACATGAAACAACTTAGAATAACTTTTTTGTTTGTTCTTTGTTATTGTTCTTATTCC